GGTTAGTTCCTCACCAAGTAATTTTTAAAGTTCACAATCTTTGAAATATGATCTCAAGAATCTCAATGAAAATTCTGAAGCTCAGAGAAGTTGGATAGAATTCTGTGTATATCCCCTGCCTAGGTAACCTATGAATTGGCTGTAGGTATAAGAAAATATTAGGTCTCAAAAAAGAAAAGAAAAGAAAAGATTAGGTTTCCATACTATAAAACAGGGATCAGTAAATTTTTCCTGTAAATGTCCAGAGACCTTTAGCAATGACTCAACTCTGCCTTTCTAGTTCAAAAACAGCCATAGGCAACGCATAAGTGAAGGAGCCTGGATGTGTTCCAGTAAAACTCGTCTTATGAATACTGAGATGTGAATTTCATATAATTTTCACATGTCCTGAAATATTATTCAGTCTATAGAAAGCCATATTTTTCAACCATTAAAAAATGTACAACCCAGGGGTTGCCTGAGTGGCTCAGGCAGTTAAGCCTCTTTTTTTTTTAAAAGGTTTATTTATTTATTTTGGGGAGGGGTAGAGAAAATCTCAAGTAGACTCCCTGCTAAGTGCAGAGCCTGAGCTGGGGCGTGATCCCAGGACCCTGAGATCATGACCTGAGCTGAAATCAAGAGTGAGTTGGTGAACCTACTGAGCCACCCAGGAACCCAAGTGTCTGACTCTTGATTTCAGGTCAGGCTTTGATCTCAGATCAGTGAGTTCAAGTCCTGAGCTAGGCTCCGTTTTGAGCAAGGAGCCTACTTAAAAAAAAAAAAAAGTACAACCTGGGCACCTGGCTGTCTCTGTCAGTAGAACACATGACTCTTGATCACACGGTCGTGAGTTCAAACCCCATGTGTGGTGTGGAGTCTGCTAAAAAAAAAAAAAGTACAACCTATTCTTAGCTCTCGAGCCATACAAAACCAGATAACTGAGGCACCTGCGTAGCTCAGTTGGTTAAATTTCTGACTCTTGATTTCAGCTCACGTCATGATCTCAGGGCTGTGGGATCAAGGACCGCATTGGACTCCGTACTGAGCGTGGACCCTGTTTGGGATTCTCTCTCTCTCTCTCCGTCCCTCTCCACACTCTCTTTCTCTCCAAAAATAAAACCAGACAACTGGTGCTAGTTTTCCAACCCGTGCTTTAGGAAAGAAACTCTTCCCCTCAGGTAACTAGCACCTTGTTCTGAGTTTGTTCAGTTGTCTTTATGCAGGGCACTGAGGCTGGATTTAAAAGTAAAAAGCAAAACTTAAAGACTCTGTCTTGGCTGGGGCACCTGGGTGGCTCAGTGGGTTAAGCATCTGCCTTCGGCTGGGGTCATGATCTCAGGGTCCTGGAATCAATCCCCTCATCAGGCTCTCTCCTCAGCGGGGAGCCTGCTTCCCCCTCTCTCTGCCTGCCTCTCTGCCTACTTGTGATCTCTCTCTCTCTCTCTCTGTCAAATAAATAATTTTTAAAACAAAAAAACAAAACAAAACATATTCTTGGTTTAAAAAAAGAAAAAGACTCTGTCTTGGCTGTTCCTGAATATACAGTTGACTCTTAAACAACACAGGTTTGAACTGTGCTGGTCCACTTATACGTGGATTTTTCCCCCCATAAATACAGTGTAGTACTTAAATCGTATTTTCTCTTATGATTTTCTTTTTTTAAAAAAGATTTTATTTATTTGACAGAGAGAGACACAGCCAGAGAGGTAACACAAGCAGAGGGAGTGAGAGAGGGAGAAGCAGCCCCCCCCCCCACCACCCCCGCCGCCGGAGCCTGATTGGAGGTTGATCCCAGGACTCTGGGATCATGACCTGAGACAAAGGCAGATGCTTAAGGACTGAGCCACCCAGGTGCTCCCTCTTATGATTTTCTTAATAGCACTTTTTTCTAGATTAGTTTATTGTAAGAATATAGTATATAATACATGTACAAAATGTATGTTAATCAACCAGGTTTGCTCTCTATAAGACTTCTAGTTATGTTGCTGAAGACTCAAAAGTTAGACAGACATGTATTTTCTAGTGCATGGGGGTTGGTGCCCCTACCCCCTGCCTTGTTTAAAGGCCAACTGTATTATCATTCTGGCCTCTCTAGCCATGATGGAGCCCAAACAAATGTGGAAGTTTAGAACTGTAAAAGGTAAAAAGAAATTCTCTTCTAAAACACTCTTGTTTACTGTCATCCTTAAGGGATATGAGTGTTTCTAGTTATTACATTCTTACCTGTGTTTACTCTGAAGTTTGATAACCATTTCTTTTATTCAAAAAGCTGTTCTAGAAGTAAAGAACAGTACTTGGCATTCCTTAGATATTAAAACATTTTAAAAATGCCTTTTTCCTCCTGCATCCCGGGTTTAATTGTTACTGTTGGTGGGTCACTTCTGCCTCTTGTCCCCCATTGAGCAGCTTCCCTCTGGCATCCCAGAGCTCCAGAGAGGCTGCCCCCCCCCACCCCCACGCCAGCCCACTGTCCCACACTTAACCCTTCCTTGGTACCAAGTGTCTGGGGGCTCCTCCCTCTCCTGTGAGCCGCCCCCCCCCCCCCCCGCCGTCCTTTCCTTTTGCCTCCCCCAGTCCCACGGATTTGTAACATCTATCTGGGTGCCTTCTTGATTAAACCTTCCCGGCTGAGCTCTGGTTCATGGATTTTCTCTCTTCTCTAAACTCCCACGACACTTAGCCCGGGGTACATGATTTAGCACTTAATTATATATTGTCTTTTATTGTTTGTTTCTATTTGTTGTGTTAGTTTTGTCTTTTCCAGTGAAGCCGCAGAGTTCTTGAAAGGAACACATCTTGTATTTTTTTTAAACCTCTCACAGTACTCGGGTAGGGACACAGTTAATACTTCCTGTTCTACCAATCAGTGTGACATGATGGATAGGCACAAATGTAAGGCTTTGTACGCATTTCTGCAGTATCCGTGGTGCTGATGAATATCTGTCAAATCTATTAAACTGATTTGAGTAATGAAGAGCAGCTCAGAATCTAGTATTCAGTTGGGTAAATCACACCATCTCTGTATCCATTTTCTCATCTGCAAAATGAAGATGAAAATATTTTCCCAGCCTACCTCAGAGAGTTACTGGGAAACTTAAATGAGATAATGTAGCTTTGAACTGTATGAATGTCAGGGATTAGTATATCTCACGTTTCTTTCCCTAAGTGTTACAGGGAAAAGTAGAGTTTGGCTTTTATCACGAAGAGCGGGTCCCTTTCTAACCTCTGTTAGAATGGTGGGTCATTCTCAGGGAATCCTGAGTATGAGTAAAAAGGTAGGAACAGAGTAAACATGATCTCTTGGCTTTCAGTTTTCCTGAGAAATTTTTATGGTTGTGGCAAATACAGTAGGTGGTTGGATTTTGAAATGGAAATTCCCCAGCTAAGATAGTCTTTGCTGTTCCTTACTTAACTATCCTTTCTGTACTCTTGTCTGCAAGCTTATTTATGACTGTCTTCATTCTCTCCTGGTCAGGTCTAAAGCAAAATGTGGTAAAAGGAAATCTTAGCGAAGAGTTGAGAACTTCCTGCTTTTGGAGTGGATCCTCTTCTCTATTTCATGTCTTTAGATTCCAAAAGGAAAATCTTACTCTGGCCGTGAATTGATATAAATTTTCTTCTTCTCCTTCTCCTCCTCCTCCACCTTCTCCTTCTTCTTCAGCCTTTTATTTATTTTAAATAAACTCTATGCCCAATGTGGGGCTTGAACTCACGACCTCAAAATCAAGAGTCATATGCTCTACCTATTCAACTAGTCAGGTGCCCTCATAATTTTTCTTCT